TTTTTCGTGACCGGCAACGGATTGCAACCCTCAGTGTCCCGCCCGTACCAGACCGGGACCGGCTACGGAATCGCAACTCTCGGTGTTGCTCCTGCACCTCGCTCAGCCAGTGAGCGGCCAGTCCGTATGTGGGATCCGAACCCTCGGCGGGAGTGCCGCCGCGCTTCCCAAGCGGCGCACTGTAGCAGTGCGCCACCGGGCCGGCCCCAATATACATCTATTTTAAACAGAAGTCAGAGCACATCATATATGCACTGTCTTGTAATTTTTTAAATTTATTTTTGGACATGTAAAAATAGTTTTCCATGGAAAATATACTTTTATGTAATATAAAGTATAATATATTATATTACATGTAAGATACATTTTTCCATATAAAAAATTTGGACCTGTATCACTGTTTTTAATGGTTACATAGGATTAGTTACATAGTAATGGTTACATAGCATTCCATGATGTGAATATACCATAATTTATATAAGCAATACCAATTCTTTCTAATTTTTCTATTATAAATATTTCTATTACAAATATTTCCTTAGGATATAGCTTAGAATACAAGAATGCCCAGCACAAAAGTTAAAATGCATGTCTGACATTCAATCAAAGATTATCAGATATGTAAAGAAGTAGAAAAACAAAAGCCTTAATGGGGAGAAAAATCAATCAGTCAAAACCATGTAGAATAGAACTAGTCAGAAACAGACAGGATAGAACTAGCAGACAAAGATAATAAAACAGCTATTATAACTGTATTCCATATGTTCAAAAAGTTAAGTAGAGACACAAAAGGTACAAAAAAGATTCAAACTGAAACCTACAGAGGAAAACAATGCATGAGATGAAAATTACACCAGATGGTATTAAGAGGAGATTAGACATTGCAGAAGATTAGTAAACGTGAAGAAATAGATAATCTAAATAGCTCTGTATCTACATAGCAAATCTGAGTTTAAGACCTTTCCACAAAAAGCCAAGAAGGCATCACTAGGAAATTCTCTCAAACATTTAAGGAAGAAAAAAATACCAATTCTATGTAACCTCTTTCAGAAAATGAAGAGGTGGGAATATTTCCCAAATCATGAGGCCAGCACTACTTTCATATAAAAACTGGACAAAGCCATAACAAGAAATCAACACACCAATACCGCACATGATCAGAGGCACTACTTTCATATAAAAACTGGACAAAGCCATAACAAGAAATCAACACACCAATACCGCAAATGATCAGAGACGCAAAAATTAACAAAATGTTATCAAATTAAATCCAACTATATATATATATATATATATAAAATACATCAGGACCAAGTGGTATTTATCCCAGTAATGAGAGACTGGTTTAATATTTGAAAAACCAATCAATGTAATTAACAAACTAAGAAACAAAAATTATATGTTCACTTCAATACATAGATGCCAAAAAAAATTTGACAAAATGCAGAATCTATTTCCTATAAAAACTCTCAGCAAACAAGGAATAGAAGGCAACACCCAAAACCTGATAATGGGTATTTATGAAAACCTTATAGCTAACATCATATTCAAAGTGAAACAATGAAAGGTTTCCCCTCCTAAGACAAGGAACAAGACAAGGACGCCCCATTTTCCCCACTTCTATTAACCATTTGTACTGGAGATTCCAAACAGTGCAGTAAGACATGGAAAGAAAATCAAAAGCATGCAGATCAGAAAGGAAGAAGTAAACCTATCTCTATTCACAGGCAACATGATTGCCTATGCAGAATATCTAAAGGAAATCTACAAAAAATGTGCTAGAAATAAGTGAGGTTAGCAAGGCAGCAGGACACAAAATTAATACATAAAAATCAGTTATACTTCTATATAATAGCAAGAACCAGAAATTAAAATTTAAAACATAATTTATAATACCATCAAAGATATGAAGTTCTTAGGGATAAATTTCACAAAAGACGTACAAGACCCGCGCACTGAACCTAGAAGGCATTGCCCTGAGAAACAGAAAAAAAGACCTGAGTAAATGGAGCAACGTCCCTGTAATTGATCAGTAGCCTCAATACTGTTAAGACATTGATTTTCCCCACATTGATCTCTAGATTCTACATGATCTCAATCAAAATCCTGGCAGGCTCTTTTGTAGAAATTGGCAAACAAATTTAAAAATTCATATAGGAATACAAAGGATCAAGAACAGCCAAAACAACTTTGAAAAAAGGTAAAGCTGGAGGGTCACACTCTTGGATTTCACAACTTATTACACCCACTCATATACAAACAACTGATTTTTGACAAAAGAGCAAAGGCAATTCTGTCCGGGAAAGACAGTCTTCGACAAACGGTGCTAAAATATGTGCACATTTACAGGCAAACCACTGAATTTGGATTTATACCTCTCAATGTATACAAAAATTCACTCAACATCAATCATAGACCTAAATGTAAAACCTAAAACTCTAAGATGTTTAGGAAATACAAGAGACAATCTTTGTGACCTTAGATTAGGCAAAGATTTCTTACATACTAAAAGCACAACACACAAAAGAGCAAACAGATACACGTGACTTCAAAATTTAAAAGTTCTCCTGCTCAAGGGACATAGTTAAGAGAATCAAAAGACAAGCTGCACACTGGGAGAAAATATTTGCAAGCCCAATATCTGATATGGGACTCGTATCCACAATACATAATAAACTCACACACTCAATAAGAAAAATTTTAAAAACCCAATAAAAAAATGAGCAAAAGATATAAACTGACACTTGATTCAGAGAAGATACATAGAATGGCAAATAAACTACAGATACTTAACATCAATCAGCAGGGGAACACAAATTAAGATCGCAATGAAATTCCACTATACACCTACTAGAATAGCTAAACTTAAAAAGAATGACACCACCAAATGCTGGCAAGGACATGGAACAACTGGACTTCTCGTTCACTGCTGGCAGAGATGCAACGTGGGGCAGCCACTTTGGAAAACAGGAAATGTCTTATAAAATTAAACATACACTTTCCATATGACCCTGAGAAGACGTAGATATTTACCTGAAAGAATGAGAATGTACGTCCACACACAGACTTATTCTCTAATGTTCACAGCAGTTTTATTCATAACAACCAAAACCTGGAGACTCAAATGTCTATTCATTGGTGAATGAATGAACCAATTGTGGTACAGCCATACTACTCAGTAATAAGAAAAAACAAATCACTATCACACAGTGTGCACGAATCTCAAAAACACTGTCATAAGTGAAAGAAGCCGGACACTAAAGACTGCAAAATGCATGCTCCATTTAGACGAGATTCTACAGATGGAAAACACAGTGACAAAAGCAGATCAGTGATGGGCCAGAGCCGGGAGTCGGGGGCGGGACTTGCTGCAACCCCGGGGGACTCTCGGGGGATGGGAAGTCTCCACCTGGACTGCGGTGCTGTCACACGACCGCACACGTGTGCTTAAGCTCGATGAAGTACACACCGTACGCAAGTCAGTGCTGGTGAAGAAGACATGATCAACTCACAACTTAGGACATGGACTGGAACTTGAGCACACCAGCTACCAACAGCGGTTTTCTTCTGGCGGTGGGAGTGCGGGTGATTCAAATTTCCTTTTTTGTATCTTCTATAACTTTTATAACGCAGTCGCTTGAGTAACCGAAAAATGTAGATATTAGTAAACTAACTAACGTTATCCCATAAAAAGCGGACGTCAGAAAAAAACAGTCCGCTTGAGTGAATCACGCAAACAGCCAAGCGCACTTGGGGGCGGGGAACCACCTCCTGAGGGCCCGGGGGCGCGCGGGGAACCACCTCCTGAGGGCCCGGGGGCGCGCGGGGAACCACCTCCTGAGGGCCCGGGGGCGCGCGGGGAACCACCTCCTGAGGGCCCGGGGGCGCGCGGGGAACCACCTCCTGAGGGCCCGGGGGCGCGCGGGGAACCACCTCCTGAGGGCCCGGGGGCGCGCGGGGAACCACCTCCTGAGGGCCCGGGGGCGCGCGGGGAACCACCTCCTGAGGGCCCGGGGGCGCGCGGGGAACCACCTCCTGAGGGCCCGGGGGCGCGCGGGGAACCACCTCCTGAGGGCCCGGGGGCGCGCGGGGAACCACCTCCTGAGGGCCCGGGGGCGCGCGGGGAACCACCTCCTGAGGGCCCGGGGGCGCGCGGGGAACCACCTCCTGAGGGCCCGGGGGCGCGCGGGGAACCACCTCCTGAGGGCCCGGGGGCGCGCGGGGAACCACCTCCTGAGGGCCCGGGGGCGCGCGGGGAACCACCTCCTGAGGGCCCGGGGGCGCGCGGGGAACCACCTCCTGAGGGCCCGGGGGCGCGCGGGGAACCACCTCCTGAGGGCCCGGGGGCGCGCGGGGAACCACCTCCTGAGGGCCCGGGGGCGCGCGGGGAACCACCTCCTGAGGGCCCGGGGGCGCGCGGGGAACCACCTCCTGAGGGCCCGGGGGCGCGCGGGGAACCACCTCCTGAGGGCCCGGGGGCGCGCGGGGAACCACCTCCTGAGGGCCCGGGGGCGCGCGGGGAACCACCTCCTGAGGGCCCGGGAGCGCGCGGGGAACCACCTCCTGAAGGGCGCGGGGGCGCGCGGGACCACTTCCTGAAAGGTGCGGGGGCACACCCCTCCTGAGAGCTCCCCTCCTATGGTGCACGGGGAGACCCCCTCCTGAGGGGTTTAGGGAAGCGTTTCCGAGGCCAGGCTCGGCCGCGCGCGTATGATCCCTGGAGGGGAAAGCCAGACTGCGTGGGGCTGCTCTCGCCACTGAACCCAGACCCTTCTCAGCTCCTGGCAGGCCCGAACACCCAAGGAGAGCGGTGGCGCCCCGGCTGAGAAGCGAGGGACGCAACACAAAGACAACCCCGGTCCTCCTCAGCCCGAGCGCGTCACCGAGCCGGCCCCGGGGTTGCGCCCGCGCGCACTCTCCCTCCGGAACCAAGGTGCGGGGAACACGGGCCGGGGACGCTGGGCCGGAGACGGACCCGGACCGGAAGTGACGCGCCGGGCGGAACCCGGGCGTTGTGGGCGGTGCTCGCCGCGCGGCTCCTATGGCGCACATCACCATCAACCAGTACCTGCAGCAGGTGAGGCGGCCGCGTCCGCACCGCGAGGATGTGGGGACGACCGTGCGGTCGCTGTCCTCAGCTGAGGGGCGGGGGCGGTCCTGGCGGGTCTGAAGGGCCCGTGAGCCACGCCGAGGGGTCTGGGCTTCGCTGCGGGTGGCCGTTGGCGGGGCCGGACGAGGGGCCTGACTTGGGGGCGGTGTCGGGTGGACAGTGCACGGAGGAAGGGCGACGTGAGGCGGCAGGTGTGCGGCTGTCGTCCGGCTTCGAGCCGCTGGTCGTAGCCGCCGTTTAGTCCGCTTCTCTGAGTTCGCGCACTGCGTGCTTCATATCGTCAAAGCGCCTTTGTCGGAAGGAGCCGTTAATCATGGATGTTTGTGGATTCAAAGCTTCGTTCTTTCCGCTAAACTATGCTAGTCCCCAGATCGAGAACCCCGGTGACAAGGGTAAGAAAAGTAGGAGATGGATTTTAAAAACATTTGAAGAAACATTAGCAGGACTTGGTGATTAAGAATGTGTGGGTTGAGGGACATAGAGGAGTCAAGAATGATTCCCAGACTTCTAGTCTGGACAAAGGATGAGAAGAACGGATTTGGAAGGAAAAATAAATGTTTATTTATTTGTTTATTTATTATTAGTACGTATATTGTCACAAATCGTACTTATTCTTTATGCCCCTTGTCCAATCTCTCCCCATCCCCTTCCCACCACAGTAACCCTAGATTTCTTCTCTCCCTCTCAAAGAGTAATGGTTACTGTGTTGATTTGTTGCCTAGATGATGTGTCCAGTGCTGAGAGGTGTGATCAGGTCCCCCAGTATTATCATAGAGCCTATGCTGCTTCTGTCACTCTGGAATGGGCTTTGTGGAGAGAGGCATCCTCTTCTTTTCTTTGGTCTCTGCTGCTGACTCTCCTTGTGTCATTGCACTCCAGTGGCTGGCGGAAAAATAAATTTAGCTTTGGATATATTGAGTTTGAGGTGTCCGTTGACAACTAGGCAAAGAGATCTATTTGACAGTTGAATATAGCTTGACATGATTTAGACCAGTAGTTGCTTCGTTAATTGAGAAAGCTGGTTAAAGCAGGAATCCTGAAAAACCAGATATATGCTTTTATTTTAAATTAAAACACACCAATCTTTAATGTAGTCCCAAGACTTTCTTTAGGATAGGTCTATCTTGACCTTATCTTTGCAGAGTTAACATTTTCCAATATCAGTTTATTTAAAGTTAAACAAGGACATGGACATTTGAGAACCAATTTGAATATAGAATCTCTCTAGAATTCTGTTTTTTAAATCTTTTACAGTTTTTTCCCACACCTAATCAATGTTTGCAGAAACTCGTCTATAATGAGCCTTATAAAAGCATACAGCCTAGCTTACAGAGAAACAACTACTCCCTCTTTGCATTCATACTTCGTTGGTATCCTTAAAAGGGCATAATTACCATAACACATACACAGGTAGCAAAAACAAATTTGATAATAAATACGTCTGGATCTGAGAACATACAACTTAGCTGGCAAAAATTTGAGGATATATTAGAGTGAAGCCTACTGGCTCTAAGGCCTCATCATGCCTTGGGCCTCAGCCCGTGTGTTTTATGGAGGGTTTGGAGAGAGTCATTTATTCCAATTTAAGTTAGTTAAAGTGATGCTGGTAAGAGCATCTACTGTATGTGAGTCTGGACTTAAATAGACAAATTTGGGCTAAAGATTCAAATCTGAGACTCCTTGATGTACAGATGGTGGAAAAGACAGAAGGGAAAGGATGACCCAGGGAACAGTGGAGCATGGATAGGAAGTGGGCCCAGGATAGATCTCTATGGAGATATGCATGTCTGAAGGCCAAGTAGCTACTCAGATAAGAGCTTGAAAAATCCACTTCCTCCTAATTTTGATGGAGAAAAGCATTTCTGGTTAGACTGGCATATTACTTAAATTATATGTGTTAACAGATTCTTGAATGTTCTTAAAAATAGGCATTCTTTGATACAGAGTGACAGCCTGTTATACCTACACATTATAACGTAATGTGTTTGGTTGTGTAAGAACATGGGTGCCAAGGTAACTATATTCGAATGTCACCATCATTTACCCATTCATCAAGCCAAGAACTTGGGGGAAATCACTGAATTTCTTTTCCTTGTCTCTGCAAATAGTTCTTTGGCTAGTTAGCTGTACCTCCTAGATCTCTCTCAAATTCATCCCTTCTCTATCTGTTGCCTAGACTATTGCAGTAGCTTTTTATCCAATTTCCCTGATTGTTGTCTGTTTCTTTTATACTGGACTTTCTAAATGAAGCACAGCAAAGAGAGCATAGGCTTTAAAGACAGTAAGACTTCAGCTCAAACCTGGCATTTTTACTAATTCTGGAACTTTGGACAAGTTGTCTCACTCTTTTGACTCTGCATCTGTAAACTGGATTCACATGAGTTGTGAGAGTTAAATTAGGCCACAAATGCACAGTAAGTGCATTTACTTCATGGGTGATAGTTGTGTTATTTTACTAAAGAAGATTTGAACATCTGCCTCTGTTACTTAAAACTTTAACTCTATTTCCTACAGGAAGAGTTCCAAATACCTTAGCACATCATCTGGTCCATGCTTATCTCTAACTCTGCTTCAACTCTCTGATACTCCACCCATAAAGACTTATTTCACATATACTGAATATACCATGGCCAACCTTCCTTCCCTCTTTCTCTCTCCCTCTCCATCTTCACCTCCCCACTATTCCTTTTCTGTAAAATACACATAACTTACAATTTACCATTTAACCATTTTAAAGTATACAGTTAAGTCCATTCACAGTGTTGCACAACTGTTACACATCTCTCTGTGTAACGGAGACACAAAAAAGGATTACTCAAAGCACCATGAATGCAATGAGAAGCCCAAAGGGTCTGCACCCCAGCAACTCCCCTGTTAGAAGGAGAAAACTGGGCATAGCCCTGATTCAAAGTTAACTTCTGTTTTTTATTGTAAAGACAAGGAGGTTTCACAAGAAAATTCAGTTGATTCAGTCATTACAAAAGGACACAAGGACATGGGCAGTGTTACAAAAGTTATCTATGGCTAACTATAGCTTAAACAAGGGAAACTAGTAACAGTAAAATTAACAATGTGAAGTTCCAAAGTACAATTTGTGAAAAGCAAAGTTCATCACACTGTGCTCATTATCTAAAGGATAACCTCTCTTTAAGCAAAAGTTGCATTCTTATGATAAAATCTAAGTATAATTATCTCCAAAATTTCCACTAACAGACAGCTTGCCCCTAGCAGACATTTTTCACATCTTTCTCTTCAGCAATTCTTAAAATCTCTTAACAGGATCCGTATGACAATCACCTGTTAGCTCTAAAATCATTAAAGTATACAATCCCACACCTAAGCAGTGATTAGAGTTGATTAGATGGGCGGTTGCCCTCTGGCTGTAGGTTGTGGCCTCCTACCTGAGGGCTTTTGCCCCGTACATGCTATTTACCTAAAAACCCTATTCTAAAAAGCAAATGAGAGTGAAGATTATTTAATTAGAACTGATTAAATGGGCTGTTGCCATGCTATCTGTAGACTGTAGTCTCCTTAACTGAGGGCTTTTGCCCTATACATGTATTTACCTAAAAGCCCTGTTCTAAAAATCAAATGAGAATCAAGATTTCTAACCCTCCACATACAGTCATCACTACTATCTAGCTCCAGGACTTCTTTGCCACCCCATTCCCATCAGCAGTCACTCCCTGTTCCTTCCTCCCCCTAGCTCCTGGCAACTACTAATCTTTCTATCTCTATGGGTTTCCTATTCTGGGCATTTCATTTCATATATAATATTTTAGTCTGTTTTAGTTGCTTAAAATACCTGGAACTGGGTGATTTATAAGAAAATGAAATTTATTGCTTACAGTTTCTGAGGCTGGGAAGTCCAAAGTCCAGGCAACACATCTGATGAAGGTCTTGGTGGCTGCGACAGTGACAGCAGGATATCACATTGTGAAAAGGGCAGAGCATAGAGACACGAACCTCCTCATGCACTCTCCTTTTAAAATCGTCAAAATCATGCCCATGACCACCATTGTTAATCCATTCACTACTGCACAGTCCTACAATCTAATCACCTCTTCAAGGCCCCACCTTACAATTACCATAATAGCATTTCCCACCCTGAACAGTTACAGTGGGGATTAAGTGTTGGGGGGATGTTCAACCCCAGGCATAATGGAATTGGACAATATGTGGCTTTTTGTGTCTCGCTTCTTTGATTAGCATAATGTTTTCAGGGATCATCCACATTGTAGTGTGTGTTGGATCTTCTTTCCTTTTCGTGGCTGAGTAAACACTCCGTCGTGTGTGTGCAGCTCGCTTTGTTCATCCATTTGTCAGTTGGTGGACATTTGGAGTGCTTCCATCTTCTGGCTATTTTGAATAGTGCTGCTATGAAGATTCATGTATACATTTGTGTATCCTTTCAGGATATACCTAAGAGTGGAATTGCTGAGGAGTATGGTAATTCTGTGTTTAACTTTTTGAGGAAATGCCAAA